AAAAAAAAAAACGATTTGTTCATTCGTTTCGATGGTAAATTGATGCTGAAATGCGCCGGGGAATAAAACCCACCATCGACTTGCTTGCAAGCAAAACTTGGAGGAAAGAGGCATCGATAGTATTACTAGCGCTTAGTTATCGGCATTTGCCATCATTCGCAGTATATTCCAAGTGTTCCCACCTTTCATAGACAATACGGATGGATTTTTACTTTTGACTTTTTAGTAGCAGAAGCTGGATTAGGTTGTTTGTAAGTGATTGCTTTACATAAAAACTCGAGTTCTCCAATTTCTAGTCTTTGAGTGTGACAGTGTAGTGGTTAACACGTCCAGATTTAAAGGATTCAGAAATCACGCGCATGGAAAGTTCAATTTCATCTCGAGGAATTCGTTGTCCCGATTAAAGGAGTAAAATCCTCAAATTTCGTTACCGAAAAAGTAGTGCTGAAGAGTACTAACGTCCCACTGCAAAAGAACGGAAGGCATTTGGTGCGAAATTACACCAAGGTCCAAACATAGCACAGTCTTGGTGGGCTGAACAAAAAAAAAATAAAGCAAAAAAAGAAAATGTACCGGTGTTAACGCACTCCTCCAGCATTCGATCCAAGCACTGCATGCAGACTTTGTGCTCGCATTCATCGTTCGATGGAAATCCATTGAGTGCCCCTCCATTGCATTCCTCGTCTCCTTGGCAAGGTGCTAGCTGCAAAATCGTTGAGATTTAACCTTCGGAAGAAATCTTAGCATATTTTTCTCATTAGCTAATTTCAATCAAATCACTTTTTTTTTTATATACATGCTCAACGCACGTCAAGAGTGTTTCGAAACTGTTAAAGCCTTGTCAAAGTGTTTTTGTCAGGAAACCGCTGGACTGATAATTTCTTTAGGAAAGAGAATAAAGCTGACCATCAGGCGGTGCAACACTGGCCAAAGCAAATGGAAAAGTTACAGTTATAAAATTGATCAAAATAAAATAAGGAGAAAAGCAATACACGTGCAAGAGCAAAAAAATATCCAAAGAAAAAAAAATGTTCAAAAATCTTTTAAGTGAGAAGAAAGAAGGTTGCAAGAAACGCAGTGCTTACCGGTTATACACTTTGATATTTGAACAATTACTCACTCCTTTTATTTGAAAAAAGCTGTTTGCATGGACTTTTAAAAGACTATTTGCTCTAAATATAGTCCGGTTTCCTCAATAACCCCGCTTGTTCGGCCACTGGTCCCTCAACATGGTCAGTGCCGGAAGTTGATCACAATTTTCCCTCCTCGCTAGCTGCTCATTTTAGTTTCTTCTTTATTTCCTAAGTTATGAATTTTAAGATTATTGAGAGCAGTTTCTCAGTTTGATCCATTTTTTGCTTCTTATTTGTACTGAAATTCTGGGAACTTTTTTACCTCATCTGGTACCTTTTAATACAGTTCATGATCTAACAGCCCCTTTAATTAGCTAAAATACGCAGCGTCATTTTCCAGCTATGGCTACTTTTCCAGCTGCTTTGATCAGCGCTGCATCCCAAGATGTGTTCAGCATGTTGGCGATCCCAACGCTTGTTTCGTTATTGAAAGCGATTCCAGCTCAACGGTTCTTTCCAAAAGCGCTTTTACATGGCCCTGGCCTTTTCGAAATGTTTGTAGTGTGGAACATGATAGTGAATTGTGGTGGGAAAGATAGTTGGCTAGTCAATGCGGTACAATCATTTAGACATGTTGAATAGTCATGTACCAAGAATATGTAGGTGATCTGTTTGTGTTTCATGAGTACTGACACCTCATCTCGAACGCTGGTTCGAATCCTGGACCACAGTGAAGTGCTTTATCGACTAGAAGCATCGAAAAGATAG